GGTCCTGTGTCTCTCCACAGGAACGCGCCATTCCTTGGATGACCTACAATGCCTTGCGCTGCCTTATTTCTTCTGACGCTGTGGCCCCCTGGAAACACTGGCATCCAGTCTCAGTCACCTACTTAGTTCCCACTTGTGTTTTTTCTTCTGTAAATACTGGGTTTCCTAAATGACTCCTTTTCCTTGGCTGGCTGCCTGCAGTCGAATGGTTCTTCTGCAAAAGGGGTCAGGGCACGAGTGTCCCAAAGCCCCCCAAGCTAATAGGGATATTCAACACAAGGGCTTTATTCTTAATCTGCTCCTAGCTACCGCATTCAGTGGCTGCCTTAAATCATAGACCATAAAATGTGCATGTTTGTAAATAAACCCTGCAGGGATTGGTCTCAGCTTGGCAGGGAACTCGTGGATGTTTTTTATGTAGGCATTTTTCTTTTCACCACGACACATGTGTGGCAAATGATGCTACGTGTTAAGTGTCCCCAAAGCATCCCCACTTATGGAAATTTTGAAACCAGGCTTTAGGAATCGTTTTGCTCTAGCTCGCCCCACTGTGGCGGGGTGTGAGAATGCAGAGATTTTGGTCTTTTCATTCCAGTGTGTTCATGAATACCCAGAGAACTGAAGCTCACGTGTCCATTTCCGCCTGATGTGTCCCATTTGCCATTTTCATTTGAAACAGTAGACCTGATGCTGGGCATTTTTGTGGAGGGGAAAGGATTTCGTGAGTTGAAGTGTGACATTTTGGGGAAAGTGGCAACCATCTTCGGAGCCTGGTCTTCATCTGCTGTGCAGCAGACAGGGGGCTTGAGCACCCCCTGCTTGTCATCAGAAGTATTGTTCAGAGACAGATGACCTCTGGTAAGGAGTGGCTTTTGGGGCAGTCAGTTTTCTTTCAGTGGGCTGTAGGTACATGTGACAGACTGACAGACAGACAGTAATTGTCCCAAAAAGTTTGAAGTTCTAGAATCACATTTCAGAGCTGAAAACTGTCTCAATGACTGATAGACTTTTCAGTTCTGATTATTTTTTAAAACAAATATTGTAACTTCCATCAGATGTGCGAGGTGAGCGGTAGATGGTGTTGCCCTGATCTGCACTGTTGACTCTCCCCTACGTGGCTGTCAGTTTCTTTGTTAGTGGAGTTTGATTGTGTGCATATGTTCTGGAGGTTTCCTCTGGATCTGTCTGATTGTGACTATATGTCCTGTGATGTGTGTGATTCCATGTATGTGTCCTGCTATGGGCAGGCATCCTGTCCAGTGTGTCCCCTGTCTCATACCCCGTGATGGGTAGGCATCCTGTCCAGTGTGTCCCCTGTCTCATACCCTGTGATGGGCAG